ACACACTTTATAGATAAGTGAATATACAAAACAAACCATTTGAACATGATATACAAAGAAATTTTTTTTTTCTTATCTTGACTTTGCAAACCGAATTTATCGATTTCTCTTGACTTTGTTATTCTCTTTCTATATAAAATTATAATTATGATTTAACAAGCAATAATGTATAAGAAATGGTCTTTCTATATAAAATTATGGTTACATGATTTAACAAGCAATAATGTATAAGAAATGGGAGTGGACCTTTCTTTATGGGTATTATAGAGTAACTCATTTTACAATATGTAATTAACTAATTGGTCATATTAACTTTTAAATATTGCATGATAGTTGATACATATTGTGTACTTAAATAGACTAAAAAATATATAGCTTAAATTAATATACAATTGATTTAAGTTTTATTTAAAATCTAACTATTTTACTCCAGATAAGATATATTATAAAAAAATTTCCTATTCTAATCTCTTAAATTTTCGTTTCTTTTGTTATTTCTGACATTTTTTATCTCATTTATTAGAGATTTAATTAATTTTTAATTATTTCAAATTTCAATTAAAAATAAATAATTTAAGATTTCTAGAAATTTGTATATTACTTATAATATTTTACTTGCTTTTAAGTGTTTTTAAATAAGTTTTTTATACAGAAAGGAATTCTAATATCTTTTTTATTGTATTTTTTTGGGTAAAAATATCTAATTTTATTATCAGTTTTCATTTTTAATAACAGTTTTATAGTATATTTATTTTTTTAACAATATTAAGATGCATTTTTTAATAAAGTAGAGTAAAAAATTAGGAATTTTATTAATCATTTGGTATTTGCGAAGAGAAAAAGAATATAATAACTAATATATAAATGTTTGAAATATATTTTATCATTAGATAATAATGTTTATTATTATATTTACAATAAATTAATTTTAATTTACAATATGATTTATCTTTTAAATAAAGATTAATAATCATTTCATTTATTGAACTCTATGATTTATACAAAATAATTGAAGAAAATAGAGAAACCGTGTAAGATAAGAAAAATTTGTGCTAAAGTCTTAACTAAATATAAATAAAAATTTATTTATCAATCAATAAATTAATAGTAAGTATCTTATCTTTTTAGAATTAATAATAAAAAGTTCAACAAATACTTATTTTTTAAGTAGATAAAATATATAAGATAATGCCTCAATTATAAATATAAAAATATAATTAATGTAACTACAATAATATAACAGTTAAGTTTATGTAATTTTTGAACAAATTATTACATTTTTTACAAATCGATCAACGTAAAAATAATATCAAAAACAGAAACTGATTCTTTTTATAAAGCATGATAAAAATGACAATTAGGTAAACTCACTAGAAATTGAAAAAGCTTATTTAAGTTTTTTGGAGCAAAACTAAACCTATATATTTAAACCAAATTTTTAACATTGATATATCCTCAATAATCAATTATAATATTGAGTTCTCTAAGTTGTTATTATTTATTGATATGACAATTTTTAAATTGCTCTTTACAGTTGTATTATTATTTTTTTAGACAGTAATCACTATCAACATATTGATTAAGGGTTATTCAATTATTATATTCATATTTATTTTTTTTTATTGTTGCTATAAGACTTTTATATTTGTATTTTTGAATAAACAGATTAATAAATATTTTGTTATTAAAAAGGAAACGAATCCTAAACTAAAATAATATATGATATTAAACTATTTTAGTCATTAAACTAAAATAACAACTATTTGATAAAATTTTAAATATTATATGAATAAAACTAAATATTAAAATTTGTATATAATTAAATTTATCACGAAAAATTATTTTTTAAATAAAATATATATTTATTTATAAACTCAAGATATAAAAGATGATTAAAATAGAGAATCATTGATTCAATCCCTTAATAGAGGTTTCATGAGTTATGAATAGTAGATATATTATTCTGATTTGTTTATTTATATAAATTCGATGAAAATATTAAATATAAAAAAAATAAAAATTAAGAAAAAGATAGTAGTGAAGACCCGCAATATGTATATTATTATTAACTAATAGATCTGTTTTTAAAATCTCAAAACAAAACGTTCATATTTACACCGACCTATTTCTTCATATATAAAAAATAAAGAAGTGAAGGGATCTCTCCTCATATTTTCAACTTTTGCCCTTCTAATATTATTAAGACCTAACCAGCTTGATTTATTTTTGTTTTTATTTTGAAATTAAGGAAAAAAGAAAAGAAAAAGGAAATTAGAGAGAGGAGAGGAGAGGAGAGGAGAAGAGAGGAGCTAACAAGCCTGAGCCACCCTCCTCTTTCCATATCTTCTCCTTCCCATCTACACGGTTTCTTTAAAATATTAGTAAGGAAAAATATCATAAAATTGAATTTCCATTTTAGTTAATTAAATCAATTTTTATTTTTCGACCTTGCCTTGGCTCTCTCTCTCTCTTTCTCTTTGCTGCTTCTTCGACCTCTTTCTCTCTCTCCTGTATCCCATCTCTCTAAATTCCCAAGACCTGCCGTAACCTATTTCACAACAACCGTCTCTGCTCTTTCTTGTTCCAGGTTCGTCTAACCGCGTTTGATCTGTGCCATGTCCTTTCAGCTTCTCAATCATGTCCATTCTCTCTTGTTTTCTTGACGTTTTTTTCTAGGGTTTGATTTTTGATCGGGGTTTATGAGGGGAGTCTGGTTAGCGATCTTCCTTGTCTCCTCGCCGATTATTTTGCCTTTTATCGGTTTGCGTTTCATGCAATTGGGTTTTTCGATATGGTTTGGATTTTTCAGGATTTCTTGTTTATTGTTTATTCGGACTTGATTGTCCCTTTGTTTGGATGAGATGGGTTTCCATCCTTGAAATTTTGGTTTCGGGGTTTATTGCTAATTGGATTTTGGGATTTGGGTTTTTGTTGAATGGAATTATTAATATTGATTAATGACAGGTTAGGATTTCACTTTGCCAAAAAATTGTTTTTTTTTTTTACGTTTTGAATACATTATTGTTATATCTAATTAGCAGCATCCTATCCAAATTGTGAGATGTGGATCAGTTGAGCTATTATTCTAGTTTCACCAGATCCCCAATCGGTGGATAGCTGCTAATCAAATATCAGTTTGTGCTGATTTCATCTTAGTAGCCAAATGGGGTGTTTCTTGAAGTAGTCTACTTGTATGTTGTAATCAGATGACCTTTGATAATAACGCTGCTTGTATTCTCGGATTCTCTTTTTTTAAAAAAAAAAAATTCGCGTTAAAGAGTTGTCATGCGGGTATTTGACCGTTATCTGCTGTGGGTTTCTTCTTGAACAGCAAGTGGACTTGCAAAGTGTGGAGGAAGAAGCTCTGGAGTGGGAAATGGCTGGGGTTGTGAATGAGGACGCTGGAGTTGGAAGGTCTTCTGGGGGGATTTCAAGTGGGCAGCGCTGCCAATCAGGAGAAGCATTGGCAGAATGGCGGTCTTCTGAGCAGGTGGAAAATGGAACGCCATCCACTTCGCCTCCCTACTGGGACACTGATGACGATGATGATGGTGGTATGTGTGTGTTTGAACTTTTACTCCACTATTTAGGCAACACTTTATGGTTCTTCCGACTGTATATGATCCTTTGTTTCTTGCTTAATTAATTTTGTAAACGGGATGCACCAGGTTTAATCTCAATGAGTGGCTCTTCGTCTTGATTTTTGAAGCTTGTAGGCATTTGGACCCTGAAGATGTTTTTTTGCATGACCTTTATCACACACATTCTTCTTTTTATTAGTTACACAAGAATAATCCTTTGAAAAGATACTAATGATAGTTATTAATACTCAGGCACTTTGTTCTATGGGTATTTTGACTGTTAATTTTGTCATGTCAATCATTTCTTTTAGTTAGTTCTCATACTTGCATAAAGTTTCTTTCAGCTTATTGATATGTCTATAACTCTTCAATTTATTGTGGCTTTTATTGTACTCCTGAGTGACCTTCACCTGTTTTTTTTTTTTTAATTGAAATAGGCATGACCTTCACCTGTCGACTTCTTTAAAATCATCCTTAGTGTAAGAACTTCCATGATCGCTTTTAGGATGGTTTAAAACTTTTCATTTACTTTTATTTATAAATGAACTTTTTGAAGAAGAAATTGATGGTCAATTTTTTATATTGCTGTTTTTTCCCAATTAAAAGGTGCCTTGCTTTTTTTTTTTTTGTCTTTGTTTCTTCATTTTCTTAAATACTTTTATTTGATTTCATCAAGAGAAGGCATGTGTACAAATAGAAAAGATAACTTATAACGTGGAAGGTGCAATTAAATGGTGATTATCCTGTCTTTTTCACATGATATATGTCTATTGAAGTTTACTATTTCTTGTTTAAATTATCTATCTTTTTAGCAAGATATAATTTGAATCTCCTCATTGAAGTTTTGGATTTTGCTTTCTGTTTCCTTGTTAGTGTAACGAACTCTTCATGTCAATCTTCTGACATTGAGTTCATGACTTTATAGGGCCAAAGCCTTCGGAATTATTTGGAAAATATACATGGAAGATAGAGAAATTTTCACAGATTAATAAAAGAGAACTTCGCAGTAGTGCATTTGAGGTTGGCGGCTATAAATGGTAAGCAGTTGTTTGTGATTGGTTTGAAATGTGTGCTATCTACTTTCTAACTCCCTTAAGTTTTATTTATGAGTTCTTAGTTGCATTCTTCATATCATTGTCAACCTATACACAATATATTAGAACAGAATATTTATCTTGGTGTATGTGTCTCCTTGTGCCTGTGTCCTGTGTTTTTTTTAAATTTTTTTTGTTTACACATGTCTATATGTATGTATATCTATGAGGGTGTTATAAAGTTTCTGGCATCATTTTCCTTCTATGTTCATAGTATGTTTTTCTGCACACACAAAATATGTGCTGACATTCATAACATCAAAACATTAAGTCAAAGATCAATCTTTTCAATATTTTTTAAATCTTAGGTGCGTTTTTATAATTGCGTCATCTATTCTGTATGGTATATTTTTGCGGTGCATGAGTATTCTGTTGGTGAATAATCAAGTTCTTTAACACAAAGGCATGTTCTAATTCACAATTGAATAGCTCAAGATGAACAGTTCATTATGAGACTGATTTCGTCGAGCTTCTGTCTCCCAACTTGTAGAAATAGCTTTGTCCTTTCTTCCATAAATTTAGAAAAATATTTTATGTTTCAATGCCTTTTTCTTTTGTATAAGGTGCATCAAAATTAATATAGTTAATATTTATAAGGTTTGGTCCAAATTCTGAGTGGTTTGCATTGGCATAAACTTTCTTTTCTACTTTGTTGTGAGTTTTATTGTCAAAGTTGAGAGGATAAAATACTTATGAAACTCTGTTTTGATGATTTTTGAGAAGAAAATTAGAGAAAGCTAAAGGGAGGATTTGTTGGAACGATCCAAACTCTCCTCTGAATCCTTGTTTATTCAACCCTTAAATTGAGAGGCTTGAAGGATTATTAAGAATTTTTTGGAGTTAAATTTGTTAAATAGTCCACTCTATATGCAAGAGAACTGCTAACGTACTAATAGTCATTGTTATTTTTCTCATACTAGTTAAATTTGTATTTTGTCATGCCAAACCAAACAGGATAGAATCAAAACTTCTTTTGCTCTCTTTATTTAAAATCAAAGTTCAACGAGGTTTCATTAAAACCTCATTTACTGTACTCTGCTTTCCTCTAATTTACTTTAAAAACCTGTACCTTTTATCCAGTCTGTGTATGTATTTTCAACTGATAGTTTATGTTATAGCCATGATCTTATATTGGATTTTCAAATTCATTGGATGATGATACTTTTGCTGCTTATGTTGCATTATCTAACGCTTGCTATGAATTACAGGTACATCTTAATTTATCCACAAGGTTGTGACGTTTGCAACCATCTTTCCCTGTTTCTGTGTGTTGCAAATCATGATAAACTGCTTCCAGGTTTGATTTTATTAATGGATGCTAATAGCTTCAGGCTTTATGTTTTCTTTATCTGTTCTTGTAATCATATGCTTTCTCTTTTGTCTTTGAGACAGGCTGGAGTCATTTTGCACAATTCACAATAGCTGTGGTGAATAAAGATCCGAAGAAATCCAAATATTCAGGTGGTGTGTCAAATGTTAGTTCTGTTGTATTAACAAAATTCTTAATATTTGAATCACTAAACGCTAGTTTTGCAGATACTCTACATCGGTTCTGGAAGAAAGAGCATGACTGGGGATGGAAAAAATTTATGGAGCTATCCAAAGTATTTGATGGTTTCATAGATGCTGACACTCTTATAATAAAAGCTCAAGTTCAAGTCATCAGGTATTAGTTTATTGATTTTAAAAAAAATTTCTAGTGTGTTTTTTATGCTGCTTTGTCCTTGGATGGTCTTCTGTTTCACATTCTGTCAGTCTTCCCAAGGGTATCTATCTTTCTCCGTTATCATCAAATCTAATATCTATGACTTTTGTTGTAGGGAGAAAGCAGACAGGCCATTTCGTTGCCTTGACTGTCAGTATAGGAGGGAACTTGTTAGAGTATATTTGACAAATGTAGAGCAAATTTGCCGCCGTTTTGTGGAGGAGAGACGAAGCAAACTTGGGAGGTTGATAGAGGATAAAGCTAGGTGGTCAAGGTATTGTAACCATTTTCTTTAAGAATGATAATTCCAAAATGAAAGAGATGTATTTCGAAGTTATGATGTTTCTAGGGGTTTTGGTATGATGTTATAGTATGTTATGCGGTTCTTTCTCATATCTTGACATAAGACAAGGTGTTGCTGGTCTTTTCAGTTATGATATTTTGGTGTTTTAGATTATTTTTGCAGATAACATTTATTATTTCCATTTCAAATTTTTGTATACCCTGTTTTTTTGCATGAGTAGTTGGGGTGTTCCGTGTTTTAGACTCCGTGGACTTACAGAGAAAACTAGCTGAATTAGAAGACTACTTCTTTGGTTTTCCGCTTTGAGGCCTATTTTGAATGTATTAGAAGGACACTTATTTACTTTTCTGTCTTAAGACCTAT